AGCCAGTTTCTGCCTTTTGTTACAGCATTCTGTTTGCTTGACTTGTTTTTTTTTTTCCCCTTGATGTAGTTTTTTGGTGAAACAGGCAATAGGGATGGGTTTTCAGTGCTACAGTTCAAGGTAAACCAGCATAACCAGACCTGGGAAATAATGTGTGTGCATTTACTGAGCACTGGTTGCTTCTCTCTTGGGAAGCTGTTACAACTGAGGAAAACAAGCTTTTGATGGATAAGATCTCTCAAAGGTCCTGTAGGACCTTATTTTCTTTTAATATATATATTTTTCTTTGCCTCAGTCTTATGATTGTATAAGAGCTGGTTCTCAGTATGTAGGTAGTTCTTCAGCATATTAGCTTTTTATCACTCTCATTAACTATAATGCACACTTGATCATCTGTTCTTTGTTTACCTTCAGCGTAATTAATTGGCATCGAGTCTCCAATGCAGCAGTATGAGCGTAACCCACATAGCAGTGAGAGCAACCTAAAAATCTAATATTCTAGTCTTATTTCAAGTGGAACAACTAGGTACTTCTTAAAAATAAATTTTAAAAAAAGGCAGAAAATAAGAAGCATCTGATCACTTGGTATGATACTCTTCTCCCAGCTAGCCAGAGGCATTTCCCTCTGGTTACTTCATGGGAGTGAAGGAAGTTATGCCCCAGAGCCAAACAGTGGCTTGGGCAAAATCTTTTGGCATTCCTAGCAAGTTCTCTTAGCAAGCACTGCCCTCATCTCTGTGTCTGTCTTGCTTTCAGCCTTATGAGGGGTGTTGCTTTGGACTGTGTTGGTGGACACTCTGCAAGTGTAGTGTAGGGAGAGAAAGGTAGCAGAAAGATGCCTCCAGTATATTTTTACTTTATAACTTAATCCAGAATATGTTTGAACAAACATCTAAAAGTGAAGGAGTCAGCACATTTCTGCTTCCAGGGTCGAAGTGTGTGATGGTAACCTGCACAGGAAGAAGCCTTTTTCTGTGGCTGTTCTTGACAGTCAGAAGGTCAGCTGATGAGAAACCAGATATGATGCAGGAAATTTACAAAAAAAGAAAATGAAACAGTAAAACCCATCCGCAGCCATCACTGGAAGCAAATGACAACAAAATCCCAAAAGAGAATTAGAGAAGCGAAAGCTCAGTTAGAACTTAATTTGGCCATCTCTGTAAAGGATAACAAAAAGTGCTTTTATAAATACATCAATAACAAAAGGAGGGTCAGAGAAAATCTCCGTTCCTTATTCAATGGAGGGGGGGAACATAGTAACAGAAGATAAGGAAAAAGCTGAGGTACTTGATACCTTTTTTGCCTCAGTCTTTAACAAGAAGACTGGCTGTCCTCCTGAGTTGGTAGACAGGGATGGGGAGCAGAAAACCCCTCCTGTAATCTAGAAGTGACCTGCTGTGCCAGTTAGATCCCAACAAGTCCATGGGTCCAGATGGGATTCATCCTAGGGTGCTGAGGGAGCTGGTAGAAGAACTGGCTCAGCCGTTCTCCATCATTTATCACTGATCCTGGCTAACTGGGGAGGTCCCAGATGACTGGAGGTTGGCCAACGTGACGCCCATCCATAAGAAGGGCCAGAAGGAGGATCCAGGGAACTATAGGCCTGTCAGCCTGACCTCCGTGCCTGGCAAGGTTATAGAGTGGATCATCTTGATTGCCATCATGTAGAAGACAACCAGGGGATCAGACCCAGCCAACATGGGTTTAGGAAAGGATGGTCCTACCTGACCAATCTCATCTACTATGACTGGGTGACCTGCCTAGTGGATGAGGGGAAGGCTGTGGATGTGGTCTACCGTGATTTCAGCAAAGCCTTTGACACAGTCTCCCA